TTTCTTTTTCTTACTGCTTTTAGCTTTTTTACCTTATTTTTGATGTTTTTCATTTTCTAGGGTCAGTTGCTGCATCTCAGGCTACATTGCTGTTGACTGGTTCTCCAACAACAGTTAGTTCAAATATTCAAACAGTATGCAGTTCCACAAGTTCATCTCCAGCTCAATGGACAACAATTGCAACAAGTCCTAGTACAGGACAAAGACAAACTACCCTTTTACCCCAGTCACAACAAATGACTCCCAAGAAACCTACTGAAATCAAACGACCTGCCTCCAAATCAAATGATACTTCGGCTCAACCTCTGCATCCTTTAACTGGAGGCATAACTCAAACAATCAGCCTTGATCCTAACGCCCAAAGACAGTTAAAGCAGCAACAACTACTTATGATCAAACAAAGACAACAGCAACAGGCCCAACAGCAAGTACAACAGCAAGCTCAGCAACAAGCTGCTCAGCAACAAGCTGCTCAGCAACAAGCTGCTCAGCAACAAGCTGCTCAACAACAAGCTGTTCAACAACAAGCTGCTCAGCATCAGGCTGCGCAACAGCAAGCTGCACAACAACAAGCTGCACAACAACTTCACCAGCAACAAATTCAACAGCATCAGCAACAGTTACAACAGCAGCAGCTGCAATTACAGTTACAAGAACAACAACTTCAACTTCAACAGCAGCAGCAACAGCAACAACTTCAACAGCAGCAACAACAACAACTTCAACAGCAACAACAACTTCAACAGCAGCAGCAACAAATTCAACAGCAGCAACAAATTCAATTGCAACAACAGTTTCAAGCCCAGCAACTGCAACAAGTACAACCACAACTGCAGGCGATCCAACCTCAAGGCCATGAACTGGATCAACATATTCAAACTCTAGAATTGGACCGGAAGCAACAGGAGCAATTGCAACAACAAGTGCAACAGCTCCAGCAGCAGAAGCAGCAGCTGCAGATTCAGCAGAAAGTTGCTCTATCAACATCTCAAAAACAGCTACAACAACAAACTTTGCAGCTAATACAACAACAACTTAAAGAAAAGTCTGGTGCTCTTAGTCTTTCAAATATTCAGCTAGTAGACCAAAGTGGGACTGTAATGGCAGTTCAAACATCAGAATCGCAAAATACTGTTGGTCGACCTAGGCAAAATTTGGTTCTTGTTAGACAAGCTGGTAATGATCAAGGTGCACAGCTGACTGCAATGTTACAAAAACAACAGCAACTTCTATTGTTAAAGCAAAAGCAACAATCAGTAAAAGATTTGTCTGAAGCCCAACAGCAGCAACTTCAGCTGAGACAGAAGCAGGTGCAAGATATGTTAAAGCAACAGTTAAAGGCACAACAAGCTGCAAAAGTGCAGACAGCAGGTGCTCAGACACAAATTCAACAGCAACTTGTTGTTGTATCTGGATCATCTCAACAGCAAGTCAAGCAACAACTAGCAGCACAGCAAAAACAGGCTCAAACTCAATTGGTTGTTCTAAAACAGCCAAGAGGGCAAGCTGGACAGTTAGTCAACACAGTAGGAGGCATATTACCCCAGCAAATGTTTGTTGTAAAGACAAAAGCTGGCGCTGGTCAAAAGCAAGTACTTACCCAACTCACAGCTGAGCAGCAGGCTGGGTTGTTGGCTTTGCAAAGGCAACAGCAGCAACAGCAGCAGCAGGTGCAACAGCAGCAACAGCAACAAATTCAAATTCAGGTATGGTGTAAAAAATATTTTTATTTTATTGTGAAGTGCTGTGTTTGTATTTATGAATCTTTTTACCTTAGCAACAACAGCAACAGCATCAACCTCAGCAGCAGCAAACAATTGTCCAGCAATCACAATTACAGCAGCAACCCCCTCCTCTTCAGTTACAACATCAACCCGCAACTACTGGAATTACTCAACTGCAATTGTCTGATCAGAGCCAACAGCAGAGACAGCAACTTCAACAAGTATTGCAATCTCAGGGCAAGGTAAGATAATTTAAAGAACGCAGACAGATAGCTGTTGAGTTTTGTACTAAGAAATGGTTCTGGGGGATCATGACATTGTACCTCCCGGATTTGCCATAAACTTGCTTGATATGCAATTTGCAGTGGAATCTACCCTGGCAAATATATAGTTTGACCCCCCATCCCAGATCCAACAAGCAAATAAATTATGTCTGTCGAATTACTCTGTCATTCCTTTGGGATGTGAGTCTTAATATCTTGTTTTCTTATGTATCTAGAATGTCCGTGGCACAAGTATACTAGGCCAAGGTATTCTTACCACTGCAGCACTGACAAGCTCAACTGTAACTACTGCCAGTGCTAAACAAGGCCCCCCTCCAATGGTGGCAAAAGTTGTCACAAATTCTCAAGGTCAGCAACTGATCACCATGGAAGCATTCCAAGCACAGAATAAGGGTAGGTACAATTTTCTATGAATATAAATCATTCTTGTACAGGAAAATACTTCATGCCAACTTATTCATAACTCTATCATGTTGAACTCTAGGAACGTTAAGGGTTGCTCCCGCGGCTGGCAAAGCACAACCCAATCAGCTCATTCAGCTTGCAAGCTCAGGTGCAGGTGGAGTCCCTCAATTTGCTGTTGTTTCTCAAGGGAATATTATATCATTGGCTAGTTCCATCAATACTCAACGTATCATTCCCCAAGTGAGTCTTTGTACTGTTTGTAGAGGATTCATTCCTTCTGAAGTAGAGCCTGAGAAAACACTGACTGCTGGTTTCTGTTTTAGGCTTTAACTCTTTCTGCAAGTGCTACAACAACAACAGCTGTAACTGCAAGTAAGGTATCTACAGGTACTATTAATGCTACTGTAGCACAGCCCTCTGGTAATTTGCGAATGGTTGGAGGGGCAGGCTTAAATATTGCCCACATAGGTGGTAAACCTGTGTTGTTGGCTAGCAAGCAACAAGGTTTGCAGGGACAGGTGTGTAAAAGTTTCAACTCGTAATAATTTAAAATTGATTGCTTTTTTTCTTAACT